CGACGAGGAGGAGTGCGGCGGGACGCGGGCGGGAGGAGGAGTGGTTGGCTCCCGCGCGGGCTCGGAGCGAGCGACGAGGAGGAGTGCGGGTTGGGGGGAGATTTTCCCCTCAACCCCTACTTCTACAGATTGCAAATTGGTTTGAGGGTTGGACCTCTAAATTTTTTTACGGGTTTGAGGGTTTAGAGGTTCTAGTCTACGGCGTTTTTTCGGCGAAAGCTGTAAAAAAAGCGGTTATTTTCAGGGGTTTGAGGGTTTGAGGGCTCTACTAGTTTTTTTTTTTGAGACAATGAGGGCTCTACTAGTAATACTCTAAGTAGCGACTCCACGTAGCCTAGTTGGTATAGCGCATCAACGCATACGTGACCCAGAGTCATCTATGCTCCTGTAGTATAGTAGTATCAGTTAAGTAGCAAGTCAGCCATTGCCCTAAAAAAAGAAAAACGTCCATGCTCACGCAGCGACATGATCTGCTTCAAAAGACCAGCGGCGGGGGTGGCTGCTGCATACGAGACCAAACGCGCTGCAAGCCGAGACGACGATATCGCGAGGGGTGGTCCGGCTGTTGCGAGTGTAGTGTGAGGGCGCGAGCAGTGCTGCGACATTGGACAACGGTCTCTGCGATGGCAGCCCGGCACCTTCGATGAAATCACGGCCGTTTCAATGATGTTTGTGATGACATGCTTCGGCAGCGGTGGCGATGGCGCGACGACGTGCTTTGGCAGCTGCGGCGGAGCCACGACGGCAACCTGTCAACTTCAAATGATGTTGCGACGGCCGTGAGGGTGCTTCGAGAACTGTGACTATGCTACAATGGCAACCCGGCTCCTACGATGTGATGTCGTGCTTTGGCTGCCACGATGATTTGCAACGAAACGCGACGGCGCGTCGATGATGCAGCGGCGTGCTTCGATGATTGCGGCGATGCTCCGAGGAAGGCCCGACTGCGGCGACGACGAGCTTTCCTGCCGTGGCAGTTCCGCGATGATGGCACGGCTGTTTCGGCGATTCTACAACAACAACCTGGTTGCTCCGGTGACGCTATGATGGTGTTTATGCTTCGACGGCCGCGGCGGTGCCACAACGGTAACCTGTTTGGTTCAATTATGTTGAGACGGCCGCGGCCGGTGCTTCAACGGTTGCGACGACGCTGCGTCAACAACCTGGATCCTTTGATGATGTTGTGACAGCCGCAGTGATGTTGCGATGAACCGCGTCGACGGCGTGCTTCGATCGATCATGACCATGCTACGAGGGTGTGCTTCGATGATCGCGGCGTTGCTCGGACGAAGGCCCGACTGCTACGACGGCCTGCTTCGATGATCGCGACGACGCTCCAACGAAGGCCCGACTGCTACGACGGCGTGCTTCCCACCTGTGGCAGTGCCGCGATGATGACATGGTTGTTTTGACGATGCTGCGACGACAACCCGACTGTTGTGATGAAGCTATGATGACGGATATGCTTCGACGGCTGTTACGGGGACGACGTAGACGTCAAGAACACTACTCTAAGCATTGCTATATCCAAACAATCATGAATCCATGAGCATGCTAGTACCAAATTCAACAAACACCCATAATCAACGTCAAGAAGTTTCGATGCTTACTAGTCACGTACATGTGTAGGTACGTGGCCAAGCTCTACGTGTGAGAAAGAAGTATGAGGAAATTGTTAAACAATCATGGTGCCAGTCAGCTTCAGACGTCACGATAGGTGAAGTTACTTTACGTGGGGGACAGAGAGCACTCTGCGCCCCACGGTTGCGTGCGATCGCACGGTGACGGACGCGGCTGACGAGGCCAAGAATTCATCCGGCTGTTTCTAAACATTTTCCAAAAATTCCCCAACACCAATCAATTTCCTATGCATGTGTGTATGAGTGCTCTCTACGGAAGATTATCTTGGTCCGCACTGGATGTCCTGGTGGTGAGGGAGGGCATCATTTTGACGATCTGCTCGTCGTCGGCGACGCCCATTCTCTTGGCCAACATGCCGGCCTCGAAGAAGCGCCGCACGGCGCTCCTCATGTAGGAGGTCCCTTCCCTCACGTTCATCCTCTCCCTGATCCTCTGCTGCAGGCTGCTCAGCTGGTGGTCTCCGTACAGCACCGCCGCCAGCTGCACGATCTCCTGCTGGAACGAGGTCAGCTTCGCCTCCTCGTTCGCCTCCGTCTGACGGATCCTCGTCGGTGTCGGGAGTTGCTCTGCACATTTCACAACTTTAATGGATAAGCAGACAACTCACAGACAGAATACAAAACAAGCCAGGTCCTATGCTGAACTTGACAAATTACCTGGACAATCTGTCCTCGGTTCAGTTCTGGTTTGCACGACGCCTTTGAAGGTCCCAGCCCACGCGTCTCTTTTGGTCAGGAAATCCCGAAGCAGATTGAACAGTTTCTTCACGGTTGCAGGGACTGAAGAATGCTCGAATTGCGACATCGGGGACGGACTTCCATTCGGCCCATGCATAACTGAAACCCAAACAAATATCAGCAACGAATGTACATTGAACAAATCTGGCATCCGTTTTCATATAGTATTAACAAAGAAGTGATGACTGACCTGTTCCCTTCTCAATCCATGGAGAGATCAAGATGGCCGGGACAAGCACCCCTAACCTGTTGAACGTGAAGTTGTACGGCGGTGGGCCAACAATGTCGTCGGGACTAGGCACGCCGTCGACCAGCCTGGGAACATGGTCGAAGAACCCACCATGCTCATCATATGTGAGGACCATGAGCAAGGTGTGGTGTGGCGGACGGGGTGGTGGAGCGGCGGCGAAGGCAAGAGAGAAAGAAGAAAGAAGAGAAAATGGGGAGGATGGAGGCAGAGGGTCCGGGAAGGGTTTTGGATGGGCCTAGGGTGTCGGAGTCATACGTGTCTGATGTCTAGACTCCCGCAAAGCTCCCCCCATTTGTCTTCATTTTGTAGGAAAAAACTCGTCCGGACCGCCCCGCGGACCGATACAGGCCCGCGTGGATGGCTCCGGCGGTCTGGACAACACGGTCTAGACGGAAGCGGAGGTTTGTGGGTCCACCTTGGAGATTCCCTAACACCCAACAACAGCTCCACCAAAAACCAAGCGGCAAAACATCTGAAAGAAAACCAGCTCACCAGATGAATATCTAGCCTCCAACGCCACAAATAGAGGCACACATAAACATTACATAAACCACCATAGTTCTAAACTCATCAACATCAGAAACTACCAGCACCAAACCTAGAGCCCAACCACAACTACAAATACAGAAGATAGAACCAAGTCAGGCATCAGCATCTAGAGGAAGGACATCACCAAGCAATGGTCAGCCTCCAGAAAAATTACAAAGCACGAGTCTAGTATGACATGAGCTCTATGCACCTCATTTCCCACATGTTGTATGACTATTACCCCCCATCATCAGGACCCTTCAATTTCCTTTATATACAGAATGGCCCAATAAGATATACAATGACATATCAAATTGATGTGAATAATAGGATCATAATTGTGTTTTGTCTCAAACACAATATTATTCATGCATCTCCATATAGTCCAGAAGATGGCAGAAACCCCCACCAATATCAGATTCTTATTTATCTTCGAAAAACTTTTAATCCAAACACCAAAACAAGTGTTTAAGTGTCAGGAAGATTTCTCAACTCGAAAGCACATTTGAACAAACTCCAAACCAATTTAGCAACTAAGCGTTTGAAAAAAAAATCGAACATGCCACAAAGGGCAAAACATTTGTTTACCTATCCAACCTTCAGCCATAAAACACTCTAATTTTAGGAGCAACTTGTATTTTCCACATACATTTCTGTTGGAAGCTACTGTATCGTCAGATGTCAGCCAGGCTAAAAGTACACAATAACAAGTTGTCTGTAAAAAAGATTTTATAGTGAAGACACCATCAGATGTCAACATCCACCTGATGGTATCTTTCATGTTAGACATTTAATTTATTCAATTTAGTCAACTTATATATAGCTACCGTGGAATAATTTACAATACATACAGTTGTGTTATGTAGTCTCGGCCTTCAGTTTGGTGTATGAGCAAGGCAAGGCAACGCAGATATCCGGAGAAAGTTGGTCTGGGTGACCAAGACTAGCCATACTGCATCGAGCAGTGCTACGCAGCCGACGATATTGCAGCCGATGCATGCACGACGGTAGGTAATCACCGTTAGATTAAATCCCTGCATGATTACGGGACGTAAGATCCTACTATCGTCCACAAGTCGTCCATCAGATATCGTGTGTGAAGCTATTCCGTACTGCATCCCCCCTCCTACTCTTCCTCGTATATTCTCAATTAATGTGTACTTTTAGCCTGGCCGAGATTCATTCTCTATGCGGGATAGTGGAAGCGTATATATGTATCTGGTTGTGGGGATATACTAGGCATAAAAATGTTACATGCATTTCGTTTGCAATAACATAACAAGAGACACATACACGCACCACGAGTGATGTGTATGCATGACATCAAGCTATCAACCAACAAAGTGGTATGTATTATAATTGAAATGACAACTATTCTTAATTAAGCAAATAAGATCAAATGGAATACAAATGACATCGAGAAGGTGGGGAGGTCAAGAACAAAATGGAACAACTCAAATATCATTGAGGACAAGAAATAGGCGCACCCCTTGTGCTGTATTTTCATCAACACTTTGTTTTTTTTGCCGGTCCTTTTTTAACCTGCTTATGTCTGGTCAACTAAATTTGGGGTTTTGTTCCTTCTTATGTTGCAAAATATAAGTGCTTTATGTTTGGGTTCCGATGCTTTTCGGATTATGTTGCAACCTTAGCATGAATCTTGTGAACTCGCCCTCTCATGCATCCTCTAGCCTCTCCTCGCTCCCAAATTCTTCCAGCAACTCCGTAAAACGAAGGCAAGGAAAGAATGGAAAATGTGAGTGAAATCAGGTGAGGGGAAGCAAACAAAAACAAACGGATGATGGATGCAACAAACTCCAGAGTGCCCAACAGAGCCAACACGCCACGAAAAATCAAACCCAACACATACCAACGTCTCGGCCGTAATGGCATCTACTATTCCAGGAGGGAAAAACCCAGGGCTGTCTCATACATCTTTCTTTGTGGACGAAAATCTAAGGTGTTTTGATATCATAAAACGTCTGATTATCTTGGTAGTGGTGGTCTCTCACGGTACAAAGTACAAACCTCTTGGCAATGATGGTGTCCACGATGGCATCACATGTGTTTTGATTAGAGCTTCCCCCAAATTTTTATTTTTTGTACCTAAGATCTTCGTTGTCGATAGTACAACAAGGAAGCAGTGGTAGTTCACCTTGCAAACCTCTTGTCTTCGACCAAAATGTGTCCAGACTTGCAATGATTTTAGGTTCTCACAATATTCGACTCATCCGGTTTTTCAAAATTCTGAGATTAATCCAATTCAGAAGGATTTTTTGTTGTGCATTTTTTTAAGTGAGTCCTAGTGGGACATCAAGATGCAAAACAACTTTAAATATCCGCGTTTTAACTTTGACTTTTATGACGCATATCCCTGGTTTGCATTTTTCCGCCTTATTCCACGTAGTCAACGATAAAGTGGGGTCATTTAGTAAACCAATATGAAACATTGAACTTGTAGCTTTAAAGGAAAAAGATATATGGAAAGTTTTCTAAAGCAACTTCAAGTAATTTTGTCCAATTAAATGAATAACGTAAATGAAAAAAAAATTGACGCCCACCTTGGCGCTCAAACCCAAGACCACAAGATTAAGAGCCTTGCGCTCTACCGACTGAGCTAGACGGGCAATGCTATCCACATCTGCAAATCAAATCTATTTATAACCTATAATGTATGGCATCGGGCTGTCCATGACAAGCACTTTTACTGCTAGAATCATTTGCAAAGTTTCTTGATCCATTTAGCAGGTTTATTAGTTTATAATTAATAATTTCAGTATTACGCAAATTCACATTTCAAATCGAACAGTTGTTTGCCAATTTCATATCACGCACATAAATACATCTTATCACAGTATGATAGCAACCTGAAAACAACACAGTACAACATATAGCTAGTTCACCTTCATGAGAACAATATTTGAACAATATATTCATTTTCCTAAGCGAAATCATGCAGACTCGTCTTATCCACCTCTGCTTTCAGTTCAGTAAGAACCTGTTTCACACTGGCCAACAGGAAAAGTGACTCCTCCTTCGCCAACACCATCTTAGCAAAGTGTGATTTAAAAAATCTGAGCTCATTCTCCATTCCCCGCTTTTTATCCCGCATCTTCACTTCTTCATCATTGACAACACTTTCTCTAAGCATACCTATATTCTCTTCCTTATACATGCTCCAGAGCTTTGCTAAACACATCTTTAAAGACTATGGCCACTCTTGATCAACCCACTCCAGGTAAGAACACTTTCGTTCATCCTATAATATCTAAAACTAGATCAGTAACAACTGAAAGAGAAATGGGTTTGTAGAAACATAAAAAATAAGCATAGACATATTTTCATAAACTGAAGAAACAGGTTAATAACGGCATATCTTCTCAAAAAGATCAATGTGCAAATGAATTAATTGCTACAGAGACAACAACCAAATTCTGAAATTTCAGAAGCCATAATTAACTACAACAACGCTACAATTTCTTAGTCATGAACTATAAATAACAAATTGAATATTTTACGAGGAAGTTAAATATAACTGCAACAGCATAGCGACAGTGTTTGGATGAAATCAAATTGATACTAACAGATGTGTACATTCACAAATTTAGTAACATAGAACTAATAGCACTAAGGACATCCATTGTGTATGCCAAATTTGGTGTAAAGACAACTGTTGCTACATTTGGCACCGGTGCCCTGCACTGGCGAGCCGATGCAGCGGAAAAAAATCAGGGACCCGAACTCCAAGCACCTAGTTGTTCTGATGCCCAGTTCCTTCGTGCCATAAAGATTTAGTATTTTACTGTTTGGATGCTCGGATGTGTGGACCAAAGTTGGCTGCACAAACTGCTGATGCGGTATGAAATAATTTTCTAATGGCGCCGCTGATGAGATGGCAACATTTTTAGATACTAGGTATAAACTGTGACACTGTCTTAACGTCCACAATAACATAGCACAGTGACAGTGTTTGAATCGCATCTAACAATTGATTTGTAACAACGAAAGTGGGGCTAACACTAGTAAAAAAAAGGGTAAAATGTTCAGCACGTTAGTACCGGTTTGCCGATGAATCGACACTAATGGTCACATGAGTGCCGGTTCAAACGGCTAGGCGGTCGTCGATCATTAGTACCAATTCGTGGAGAAACTTTAGTACCGGCTCATGCCACGAACCGGTACTAATGAGGCTGTGGCAGGCTTTTGTCAGGTTGGGGCCCCACCCAGCATGTTTAGTACCGGTTCGTGCCACAAACCGGTGCTAAAGTTATTTAGTTGCAGCTGTTTTTTAGTCCCACCTCGCTCGGCTAAGAAGGTTTTGACGACCTTAAATATGTTATTTCTCAAACTATCACAACTACTTGGCCTTCAGTGAACTTTATGTGTATTATCTGTGGCTGCAATAGGAGTCTTCGCCGGTTCTTAAACCGGGGTAGATTCCTATTGACAGTTTAGATTCTACACAAAAAGATCATTGATGATCAATGTATTTTTGATGTATATTTTTACATGTTTACACGGACGAAAACTTACACCGGCATCAAACTTTCAACCCTTTCTGACATCACGGCAAAAATTGGATGCACC